CCCCAAAACCCCAAAACCCCAAAACCCCAAAACCCCTCACCAGGAAAAGAATGTTGAAGATATATTATTAAAAATGGATGATGAGAGAAACCCTTTGGAAGAAACCAAAGTAGATGAAGATGCTGAAACAGAAACTGAAATGAGCCCACATAAGCTACATTTGGATAAGGTAGGAAGTATTGCAGGGGAAGATCAGGATCTCCCTGATCCAGAAGAAGAGGACAGTGATGAGCCCCAAGAAGAAAATGAAAAATTACAAGAAGATATCATTTTGAAAGCAGAAGAAACTTCTAAGCCTCAAGAAGAGAAAAATAAACTTGAAGTTCAGAAGGATAAACCTGATGAAAATAGGGAGAAACCATCAGAAGATAGTAAAAACTTGAAAAAGGACGATAATCTAGAAGAGCAAGAAGAGGAATTGAAAAATGAGACAGAGAAACTTCAAACAGAAAAACCTCAAACAGAGAATGATATTCTCAATGAAGAAAACGATGTCCCACAGGAAGAAAACGATAGTATCGACACTAACTTAAAAGATAAAATGAGAAGAGTCACTGTATCTAAAAAGCCAGATAATAGCGAAGTAGATACTAAATTCTGATCTGAAGAAAAGAAGATGGAGGAGAATAAATCTGAGAGTGAAATATCCGACAATTTTGAAATTGTAACTGACAGGGTACATCAAGATATAGAGGAAGAGCAAAAGACACCTTTCCAGCGTAAAACTACTATAATTGAAAAAGATGAGAATGGAAAGAAAATTATTACTATAGATGAAGGTGTTTTATTGATTTTCCCAAATGGAAACAAAACTATCTCTGTTAATGTAAAAGTGACCAACTTTACTCTGTCAATCACTCACTCTAATACTGAAAAGCATGAACAGACCCCTGAATATGATGAGGAATCCGATCTTTTAGATAATTTGTCCCCTTCAGAAGAATTTGGTAAAAATAAAATTTTAATTTTAGATGAATCACTGGTGAAGTTGATTGAAAATCAATGAATGATGAAATACTTTGAGATCCCTCTTGGACTTCTTTACAGTATTACTAAAGTTAATATTGACCCTTGGAAAGATGTACTGATGTTAAAAACAAAGGATAACAGGAAAGTAGCTCTGAAGTTGCTCGATGATGATGACCAGGTAGAGCTAGAAATGATCCTAAAATCTCAAGCTTTTCCCTCTAAAATAACAAAAGATGTGAGATTTTTTAAGTATAAATATGAGCCTTCTAACTACTTCAAAGAAGAGGAGAAGTACAGTCCAGCGAAAATTTTTAAGAAAATACTTGATTTTGAATGGGATGATCACCAGAAGTTGCCTGATCATTTGATAGCTCATATTCTAAAAGATGCTCCTCTTGATAAAAATGGATGGGAAGTATATAACTTTAAGGAAGAATATAAGAGACAAGGAGTCAATCAAGATATAAAGCAGTTCCATACAATAGAGGTTTGGAAAGAGAAGGAAGAAAATACTTATCCAGCAAAAGCATACATTCCCAATACAATTTCTCATGGAGAGGCAGTGAGTGCATTTGAGTTTAGATCAAAGAAGAGATTCCCAGCTTTAAGTTATTACTATAAAAAGAAGAAAACTTCTTTATGGAGATGTGCTCAACCCTTAGTCGGCTTTTTCAACTCAAGAAATGATGATGATGAAAAACTATTCAAAGCTATAGCTGATTCTTGTCCTTATAACCAAGGATTGCTTATAGTTGATGCAAGATCTTATGTTATGGCAAATGGAAATAGAATAAAGGGAGGAGGCACAGAGAAACCGGAACACTATCCAGATTCTGAAGTAATCATTTAAAATAAATTTTAGATTCATTTTGCTGGAATTGACAATATTCATGGTGTCAGAGATGCATATAATCTATGCTTTCCTTCATGGCAAGATCAATGGTACACAAAGAATTTTGATGAGCTTCTTGATAAGATAAATCCTTCAAAATGGCTTGATACTATTCATCACTTGTTGAAAGTTTCAAAGAAAGTTGCTAGCTCAATTTACAAAGAGAATAGAAATGTGATCGTCCACTGTAGTGATGGATGGGATAGGACAGCTGAGATATGAGGTCTTGCACAAACTATATTAGATCCATATTATAGAACATTAAAAGGCCTCCAGGTAATAATTGAAAAAGAGTGGGTTTCATTTGGATACCAGTTTGACAAGAGATGAAGCAATTTTGCAGATGAGAAACAATATGGCAATGATGTATCTCCAGTTTTTATACAGTTTTTGGATTGTCTTTATCAGTTATTGAATCAGTATCCTCTTGCTTTCCAATATAATAAGTATCTTCTCAAATTTTTGGCTGTCGAGGTTTACACCTGTAAATTTGGCAGCTTTATTTTCAATAATGATTGGAGCAGAAAGAAGTTTGAAAAAGATATCGGAGTAAAATTGAGAGACACTGTATCTATTTGGACATATGTCAATGATAATTGTCAACAGTTCTTAAATCCTTTGTATGAAATGGAAAGTGGTATTCTTAACCCACACTATCACACTCCTTATCTCAAATTTTGGAGCGAATATTTCTTCAGTTGGCATGATCACACTGGGAAGGATTTAGAAGTAAAGAAGCCCGATCCTTACAATGATTTACTATCAATCATAATGGATCAATATGAGAAAAACAAAAAAGAAAAAACTCATACTAAAGAAAAAGATGAGGGTTCTACTAAGATGGCTGGAGATACAAAAAAGATGAATATGGATAAAATTTAGATGCTATCTATTCAATCCTCACACTTTATTAAGGGGTTTTGGGGTTTTGGGGTTTTGGGGTTTTGGGGTTTTGGGG